ATAACTACAAGCATGGTGGTGGGGCAATGAGATGTGCATCTGGGAAGCTCACCAAGCTTAAGAATTGATGCTCAGACCTAATGGGTGCTGCTCCTTCACTTGAGTCACTGCAAGGACTTGCCACTTGTCAAGGACAGACTGAATGACATCCTCTTCTGTTGAGCAGTAGAGTTAGCAGGCTACAAACTTTTTGCTCCTTGACTGTCCTTGTTCTTCTAGACAGAAGTAAATACATACTTGTGAGGCAGCTCTGAAGTCTCTGGTGGTATATTTGAGGTTGGAGGGGGACACTAGAACAGCACTGTAGTTTCTTTAAAGCACATGAACATTTACAGAAAAGGGAGAACAAGCAAATAAGCAAGTAAATGTTTGAATAATACCAGAAACAGAGATAGGAAAAAGGACCCTTGGGTGGAGGAGGGAGAGAGTTACTTGATAGCACTAAAATGTAATAAGGGCCAAACAATCTAAGATTGAAAAATGAGTTCCAATTACATTTTATGCTTAAAGCAGTTAAATATTATTGCAGTTTACATAAGAGTTAAAGTAGTAACTGTAAAAATCAAAAGTGTGGGGTTGAGGGAAAGCTCAACCTTTGGACAGCTTTTAATGGGGGCTTTGTCAATAAGTCTGAAGGAATTCCTGGATGTGAATGATAGACTCACTGTTCTCCTGTGCATCACTAGCTATGGAAACTGATTTGTCTGTGCTAGGCAAAATCAGTGGGTTCCATAACCTCAGGTGAGCAGGTCAGAAATTATTTACCTATTTTTTGTAATGCAGTAAGGACAAGGAAAATCTGCTGAGTTTAAAGCTTAGCAGACAATTGCTTCATTATTGCAGACATTGTATATTTCACACACACTAGTATGTTAAGTAGCTATATATTATTTTAACATATACCTAAAAGTCTTGCAGAATCAGAAGCAATTTTTACAGAGGTGATAGACTGAAATGGATCTGGATGCTCTGGCTAACCTATTATTTGATTCTTCTGAAACAGGAAAAAATGGTAAACAGCTCCTCAAGGTGTTGTAATATTTCTCTGAAAAAGGGAGGCACTATGAAAGAGAAATCTCAGAGCAGCAGAGAAAGAAATATACAGAGCAATGCACTGCAAGTTAGAAGCCCAGATTTGATTCCTGACTTTGCTGCTTCCATACTGAGACTCCTGGCAAGTCATTTTATCTGTCTGTTCCCCTTCCTACTCCCTTGTCTCACTTGTCAAATGAAACTGCTAGCAGCTTAGGCCAGAGGTTGCTTGTAGGATCTGATGCTCTTAGTGACTGGTTCTGTTAGAGGGTTGCAGTGGTTAATGCTCTGCTAGTAAAAAGAGGCATAAAAAACTAAGAAAAAGAGCTAATAGAGACAGTGGGAATTAGATGAACAGGTATAAAAAGAGAACGTCCAAAAGCAGCATCTCAGAATTACAAAGAAGAAAATATTGATTATTTTAATGTTGTGAAATAGTTAGAGTAAGGAATAGGAGCAAAGAAATACAGAGTTTAACTCTGCCCTCCTACAGAGAAACCATCAGAAAAAGTTGGCGCTTTCTTTGACTTCTACAAACTTCTGTTGAGTTCTCAAGAAACTGAAAGTGTTCCTAAAAGGGGCTGAGGTGGGAACAATAACTTCCTAAAAGTGTGGTTCTTGAAGAATGGCTGCCCTGCACTATCCTGTGGCTCTGTTCCTACTCCGAAGTGGATAGTCTGCAGCTTTAGTTCAGATGCCTCCTCCCTTCAGTGCCTGCACATAAATTGCTATTAATGTTACCATGTTATACAAGTGCATTGGGGAGGAAAATAGGCCCACTAATGCATTGTCCTGCTCCAGTGTTTTTTAACCTGGAGGATGCCACGCTATTCCATGGGCTGTGGGTGGGCACAAGCCACAGGAAAAACAGCAATAGAGGTGGGACAGACTCCATAAGGCCGCATCTGCCTCACCCTTTCTTCCCCATGCTTCTCCCCAGGCTGTGTGCAAAGCTTAACGCAGATAAAGCATATGCTCCCAGAGTTGCCTTATGGCCTTCCCTCCCTGCTCACATGACAACCGTCACTTGTAGTCAGCCATGGTAGCAGCTCAAAGGGACCCAGGGCCTGCAGGCTCGGGCTGCAGCTGGCTTCTCCAAGCTTCCTTCTTATGATCTGAATACATTTAAAATGGCCATGGAAGCACGCGTCTATCTCAGCCCGGAAGAGCTACCAGTGGTCAGCAGGTAGCTTCTGCCCTGGGCAGGAGCAGGAGAGAAAATGGTAATTGAGGACCAAACTCGGCCCCCCCTCCCACACTAGTGAGCTCCACGGCAGGCCCCAAAGGAAGGGAACAGAACAAATCCTGATTACTATTATTTAGATCAACGCTATTATTCTTCCTGTTACTATTAAATAACAACACGAAGAGAAGTATTTTTTTTCCCTTTTGACAGAGCATAGACAAGTGGCTACTTATGCGTTTTATGTTGTGCCGTGGATTAATTCAGAGGGGACACATGGCTGGGAGGGACATACTCCACCGTCAGTTGAGCGCAAAACAGGCAAACCCAGATGAACTCAAACAAATGCCACAAACATGCAACTTCGAAGCCCCAAATCCTGCTACGCATGCATCTGAACAAACTGCTTTATCTGTGCTGAGCTGCGTCGACTCCAGCAGAGTGCCGGCTGTACACAGGAGTACACGTGAACAGTCCACAAGGTAGGGTCGGGGCATAATTCTTTTAAAAATTAATACCAGTCACACAGAAGTGACAGAAAAGGGCCATCTGATGATACAAGCTTCTGCAGAAAAATCTAGAAATGCAACTTGTGCAGGGTTTTAAAACAACTAATAATCAGCAAACAATTTTAAAAATTTCAGCACTCACTGTCCCTCAAAAAATTCCTCACAGGCTCTGGTCAGCACCTTGTAACTCTTGGTAACAGTGACAAAGTAAAGCCAGAGATATCTCCAAGTGGGCAAGCAAAGAGATTAAAATCATATATAGAGAACTGGAAACCCAGAAATATTTACTATTCTCTCCCTCTTCCCCCTTGTGACCTCTTGTTTGCAGAAGGTCCTATACTGATAGCCCAAGAAAATACAGTCCTCTCTTTCACTATGGACACAATAAATCAAAGCCATTAGAAACTTGAGCATTTTATTTTCTGACCATACCTTAGCTTACTCATTTCTCTTAAAGGGTGACAAAATACTTCTACGGGCCTAATGGGTGGCTGCCTTGCAACTCGTGAAGCCATTTGTAACTGTACAAAGTGGACACAAAATGTGATTTCTACTTAGTAGCACTGTACATTCATTTCCTACAGCTGTAAACAACTACATTACATGCAAGGTGTCCCTATCGTGACCTCTTTTCTGAAATGGCCAGTAAAGGCATCAAGTGTAATAGAGAGTCCTGTTAACAACAAAATGAAGCATCCTTTAAAATTAACTTCATGTATATTATCAAGCATCTATATCACTTCATTGCTCAGTAATTACTTACTTTGTCAGGATTTTAGCAATCAAGAGGTACGAGAGGCTCCATGGTGTACTATTATTAATATGGGTAAAAGAATCTAAGAAGCAAGGCACTGACAAGTAAGAAAGTATACCATGTAGGTTTTAACTATCCGGTTTAGGCCTCTTACTGCTACTGGCAACTGCTTATGCGTGCTGAAAAGATGCTGCTTACCTACAACTGCAAAGCACTTGACGATCTAGAAACGATAGGAGGAAGCTCTGCCTAAAAATTAGGCCAACCTTTTCATATGTGACTAATGAAATCTGTGTGCCTTCACTTGCCAGTGTCCCAAGCTGTGACACCTGACATGCATCTAACTTCCAGCGGATGGATGGTCGGCTCTGCTTTCTTAGCACTGAAAGTGAAAAAATGAGGTAGAACACATTAGCTACAGAATATGTTTATCCTATTATTTTTATATTATTTGGACACTGACCCACTGACCCCTGCTTACATCAAGAAAGATGGTGGGGCCTTTAGAGTACTGTTCTCACATCTTAACAAAAAAACATGCAGGCTAATTTAAAATGACTTCTCAGAAACAGGGATACAATATAACTTTCTAAAATCAGCTTGTACTTTATCCCACCATTTCATTCAGAACTAAGAAATATTATTTCAGAGTTATTTACCATAATTCTGACATAAAGAAAAAT